CAACCGAGATACCCCGGTTAAGCAAGCCTGCTAGATGCCTTCTACCCAACCTTACCCATTAACAACATAAGAATCAGTACAAGTGATAGACATGAGAAGAATCAAGTGTTCCGCATTCTTTTTCCATTACTAAAGGATATCCATTTATGATTTTCAAAATATTACAAGTTTATAGATATGATAAAAAACATGTTTGCCCAAATACCAACACTTACTAGTTTAATTTCCAACATCAAACACCACCCACAAGCTGTCTACGGAGCCTCTAAGTATAATATAAGAGTAGTATGGAAGTGCTGGCGACAAGGCCCTAGCTATACCTCAAAACATAAGGTACAATGTCAAATGACATGAAGCTCGGGACAGAGTAGGGCTTGCCAAAATCTGATGAATAGAGACTAACTGCTAACGAGGATCAAAACAGCCCGCTGACGAACCATCTGCATCCATTAAAGATGCAGCGCCCCCGGCAAAAGGGACGTTAGTACATATGGAATAGTACTAGTATGTAAAGCTAAATCGTCTTTCAAAATAGAATGCCAATATAAGAAAGGAAAAATCATAGAAACAAGTCACCATCAACAATATCCAAATGCCCAGTTAAAACATAACGATTTTTGAAAATACGAAAATAATATATATATTTTTTCTTGGTAGATTATTAGCACCGATATACCACCATGTTGTTAGCACGGAGTCTGATCACTCCCGATCAGCTAGGCCATCTCCCCACAAACAATGTGGTTTGACATGTGATGCGAAAAAAAGGTGTTGCCAAGAGTAGTACCACCATGTGCATAACATGGCATCCGATCTCCACCCGATCATGTGGGTTGACTTTCCAATTCACAGCTAATATCAATCATATCCCAATTAAGGGGAATAATCAAAATCACATCAATATTTCAATCTCATCCCAATTGTTGTTATCTTCGTAGTATGCTTTCTGTTGCTGCCTCGTTAACAACCTTGCCAGAAAATCCAATTGGTATAAAAACCAAACGAAGGGAAAAAGAGTACAGCACATACTTTCTGATGGGATAATGTTCATCAGTAATAATATCTTTTGAGGTGCGCCACGTTTCATTTGCTGGGCAACTTCTCTCCATTTTGGTTTTCTAACTCGTATGAACCTTTTCCGGTGATAGCTGAAACCCGAAAAGGCCATCTCACATTGGACCTAGCTTCCCCGAGTTAAGCTCCCGGGTATTGTGAGTTACTTTTCTTAGGACCAAGTTATCTACTTTGAAATAACGGATGTTGGCAGTAGGAAATAGACTTTGGGGAACGCCTTATTAAGATCTTTATAATCTACGCACATGCGAAACTTATTGTTCTTTTTAGGAACTACCACTACATTAGCTAGCCAGTCTGGATATCTTACCTCCCAGATCGAACCGATATTTAGTTAGCGGGTTACCTCTTCTTTGACGGATTTATTCTTGGCTTCGGCGATCGGGCTCTTCTTTTGTCTTACCGGAGGTATGTTACGATCCAAGCTTAACTTGTGTACGTCTACCTCTGTCGGGATACCTATCATATCCTCATGCGACCATGCAAAACAATCGACGTTAGATTTAAGGAATTTAATGAAGTCAGGACTGAGTTTCGGGTGCAGTCATGTCCCCATGTGGAATTTCTTTCTAGGAATTCCTCGAACAATGCCACTTGCTCCAGCTCTTCCGATGTGGACTTCGTCGCATCATCTCTTCTGGAACTTAGAAATATCTCGGGACCTGATTATCTTCCGACGCCCGGCTAATTTCATCTAGTTTAGGAGTAGGTGGTAGGCCCTGTAATTGCTACTGGAGACCGAAACTGTATTCATCTCTCTTGTCGCCGGTTGGTCACCCCTTATCTGCTTAATTCCCTCGGGTTTTGGAAACTTCAGCAATTGATGGTATGTTGATGATACAACTTTCATCTCGTGCAACCATAGCCTTCCCAGAATGATGTTGTATCCCATACCACCATCTACCACTTCGAAAAGAGTTATTTTCATTACTTCTTCAGCATTTGTGAGTAATACAATTTCTCTCCGAGTTGTCACACTTGCGAGGTTGAATCTAGCCAGGAGCTTTGTGGCCGAAATAATGCTTCCGGTGAGTTTAGCTTGCTCCAACACCATCCATTGTATGATATTAACCGAACTCCCTGGATCCACTAAAATATGTTTAATCTTAAAATCTAGCACATTTAAAGAAATACCAATGTGTCATTGTGTGGTAGCAACAATTCATCTACGTCCTCCTCCGTAAAAGTGATATCGTCTTTCCGAAGCCTTTGGTTATGCGTTATTGATACTTTCGTCTTCTTTGCTGCTGAAAAGGTAACCCCGTTAATCTCGTTCCCTCCGAAGATCATGTTGATTGTTTGACATGGGGGATCTTCTCCCGCTTTCAAGGGTTCCACGTTGTCTCAGTTACAACCATAATTATTCTTAGATCGGTCACTCAAGAATCCTCTGAGGTGACCATTCTTTAGTAACGTTGCCACTTTCTCCCGGAGATGTCGACAGTCCCCTGTCCGGTGGCCATTTGTCCCGTGGTATTCACACCACAAGTTTGTATCCCTTTGGTTAGAATCAGATCTCATCGGTCTTGGGAACCGTGCTTCTTTGATGTTTCTCATGGCCGATACCAGTTCCACTATACTGATATTGAAGCTGTATTCTGATAATTTGGGGTAGGAAGGATCCCGTGATCCTGCCACTTCTTTATCCTGGAGTGATCGATTATTCCGACCGCGATCGGTCCTCCTGTCGATCGCGAGCCTGTCCGTTGTTCGGGAACCTCTGCTACGGCCTTCGGTTCGTTCGTAAGGCAAAAACCGACCCCTCGAAGTCCGTCTGTCTACGTCATAATCATCCTTTGATTATTTCTTATTCGTTTCCTGTCCTTTGGTCGATGATGGAAAACCAACATGATCATCTTCGATCCTTATTTTTGATTCATACCATTTTTGGACGTCCGCCCAGGTCGTTGCTTGAAACTCGAGTAGGCTCTTTTTCAATTTTCGGGAAGCATTTGAACTCCTCAAATTCAATCCTTTGGTGAACGCCTCAGCCGCCCACTCATCCAGGACAGCCGGGAGCAACATTCTCTCCTTCTGAAATCGATAACAAACTCCCATAGTAGCTCGGACTCTCCTTGTGCTATCCTGAATATGTCAGCCTTTCAGGCCTGTACTTTTCTTGCCCCGACACGAGCCTTGATGAAAGAATCCGCAAGCATTTTGAAGGAATATATGGAATGCTCGGGTAACAGCGAATACCACGTCAAGGCCCCCATTGTGAGGGTTTTTCCAAATTTCTTCAGCAGCACAGATTCAATTTCGGGAGGAGCTAAATCATTCCATTTTATCGTTGTTGTGTAGGTGGTAATATGCTCCTGGGGGTCTGAAGTTCCATCATACTTTGGCATTTCAGGCATTTTGAACTGCTTTNCATCAGAGCCAATTTCACCCCTGGGAGTGTTGTTATCGATCCTCCGTGTTGTTTGATTCGTGGGAATTCCGGGAAGGATCAGATCTTGTCTGTTTGTATTATCTGAAGCTCCTGACATCGCTTGTTTCAACTCCATCATAACTTTATCTTGTTGCGTGAGGTGACCTAGAATGATTGATTAATGCTCTTGCAAGACCCTTGCCGCGTCGACGACATGCTCTTCATCGGCGTCATCGGGATTGGTCCCTCGAACATGTCGAGGATACTGCTTGTCATGCACTGGTGTAGCGTCACTCCCTTCGTTATGGGTATCGCTGATTGAGTCCTCGGAATGAGGCTGATTCTCTTGAATCTCGGGGTTGTGCATGTCGTTAATAGTATTATCTGCCATTTCTTATGATTTTTTCTAAGACAAAAACGATCAAAACACGTTAGTAAAAAAGGCAAGGATCAAGTAAATGGTACAGTTGAATTTATATGTGGCTTCTAGATAAGTGAATTAATTTGATCCTGAAATAAATAAACAATTGAAGAGTTACGCAATACTTAGTCTTAAGATATAGACGAAACAACAGAAGCAACAATTCCAGGAATAAGGTTTCCGGACACAACAAGAAAAGAATCGAGAAATCAGAAGATAAAGTTGGATTGAGCTTTGTATAAAATATAGTATAAGTTTGCCAGAAAATTCCCCCTCTTACAATAACAAATGAGCTCACTATTTATAGCTATGAAGAAAGTCCTAGGGTCGTACCCTTCTTTAATATCAATTATGAGGGGCATTTATGAAGATGTAACGGTAAACATAAATGCCAAATTCCTTGTAACAGATAACTGCTCTTGATGCTATAAATATTCTTTATTGAATGCTACCGGGAGAAGAGCATTTATCACATCTTTATGAGCATTTTTCTTTCCGGTGACAAACGAAACAGTTGTCTTCAGTCGTCTCCCTGTCTTGGGCTCCATATATCCCTTTCTCGGACGGCCACGTGTCTAAGATATTTTACTCAATTCAGAAATAAAGCTAATTTTTCATCAATCAAGAAGTTGGCCTTCCTTAGCCAAGACAAATATCCCTTCTCTTTTGCTTGACCAAGAAAACTCTTCCACAAGATAAACCATGTGAATGCTCAATGCTTTTTAAGATCCTAGAATATTAAAGAAAGAGGAACAATAAATACAAAGAAAGGAGCGGCTATCGAAGCTATATAATGTCCAATTGATTAAACTAGGTCCTGCTAAAGGATAAATAGGAGGGCATGCTTATTTGATCGATTCAAACACATTCTTGCTCCGAAAAGGACTTATTCAGCATAGTTGTGGCATTTTTAATTCATTAGATGAAGTCTAGAAATTCCATTACTGTTTTCTTGGTTAGGCATCTTTAGCAATATACTGTTTGTCCATTTCCAGAGTGAGCATCTCTTTTCCATTTAAGGACAAAAGAGCACATAGGAGCTCCTTGGAATAGATTAAAAATGGTACAAAGAAAGACAAAACCTGAAGTTTTTTTTAGAAACACGCTTAGGAAAAAGCTAATCGATAGCTTCAGAGTCGAAAATTTCATCTCGTTGCCTTCGAGAAAAAAAGTAACACAAAAAAACAAACTTAATTGTCATAACGTGCCTTTAATGAGAGGAAGAAAAGAAGGGGATTCGATACAGGTTATAGGGGCAATCAAAGTAACTAACACAAGTGATGGAAAAAACAGAAGAGAAAGTTCAATGCAAACATTTTAGTCATGGACATCAATTGGAATACACCAATAAGCTTCCTCCCAAAGGAAATGCAATTTGTTCTGGCTGCAAACTCAGTATATTTCCTGATAAATTCTACTACAAATGTGAAACATGCTCATATTTCCTTCATCAAGTGTGCTTCAACATGCCCAAGAATTTGGAGCATCTTGTGGATCCAATCCATCACCTCACTCTCCTACCCATGCCTTCTTCATCGATTCATGACTCCACAAGATGTAAGGCCTGTGAAAAAGAAATCACTGGCTTTTCTTACACTTGTGCTAAATGTTATAGCTATTATCACACACTATGCTTAGCATTACCTCTTACACTAAAACTGCCATCCCACTGCCACACATTGGACTTAGAATTCTGTCCTCCCTATGATTTCGAATGTGATTTATGCAAAAAGCCTTGTTATAAAGGTTGGCTTTACCATTGCAGCTCTTGTGAATTCGATGCACACATTTCGTGTGCTATTACACACAAAGGAGAAGATATTCATAATCCTTGTGAGTCGATTTATCAGAGCAAATCATCTGATCAGGTGCTCGAGAAAGAAACTAAAACTGGCAGTAAATGCCACGAGTTGATGGATTTACTATCAAAATACATGAAGGGAACAGAGAAAAGTATTAGTCAAGATCATGTTCAGCTTCAAGTCCAACAACAAACACCAAGTTATCAATTCAGTGATGGCTGCTTTTCCATTGATCTTGCAAAATCTCAGCTGCTAAATGATGAACAAATGAGAAAAGGAGCAGATTATCATGCAGTGGAAATTCCAGAATCTAAAGAGAAACAGAATGTCGCCTACGTTACTCTGACAAAAGGGGTTAATTTATCTTCTTCAAGTGGGATTGGTTCTGAAGTTTGGATGGGATTAGGCAGGGAAATGGAGAAGGCTTATCAAACCAATGATTCTCACAAAGTAAGCATTCTTTTAATGGTTGACAAATTTCTTTCTTTTTCTTTTATAACGGTGATATCCTCATCAGCTTAAACACGGTTAGCTAGAGAGAGCACAACACACATTTATTTATTTAAACTATATCCTTAATATGTTTCTTCGTCTGATTCTCTTTCATGGGTCAAACACGTGTAAAAGCTTTCTTATAATAGATGATGATGAGACTCGAACCTAGGATGCATGCCTGTTGTGATAACATATTGAAGTATGTGACATCTTATCAAAAAGTTTAAGGTGTCAGAGAAAGAACACTTTTATTTATTTAAATTATGTCTTCACCAGCATTTTGATACTTCTCACCAATACATGTATCAAATAACTTTATCCACTTGAGACGTAAACAAATGTGAAAAATCACCTGGTATTTTTTATTATTGCTAGAAATGGAACATTTCTCTTACATGATTTTATCCCACTTCATTACTTATTGCACCCTTGGATGCTTATGGTTGAGAAATTCTTAGCTTTAAGTTTTTCCATTATTTGCAGGAACGGTTAAGGAGTTCATGTTGTACAGACATTCTTAAAAATTTGTTTTGTCCAAAGAAGTGAAAACTGTAAACGCGGACTAAGTGAAGACACTTAAAGCTTCGAGGATACAAAGTACAAATTCGAAATTGCAGGACGAACAGCTGCCATATGAATGCCTTTACCCTACCTCTTATGATGTAAAATATTACTATTCTTAAAGAAAAATGTTTTTATTTATTGTGCTATACATTAAAAATATATGTCTAAATAAACATCGAAAATAGAATCGTCTTTGATAAGAGTATTTTATTCTCTAAAATGGGATTAGCTATGGTGCAAATTCGAATTAGCCCGTCCTTAGAGCGAATACTGAAGGAGGGGTGGAAAACAGAAAAATGTTTAAATAGAAGAAAATTACTTATACTGTTTACTCTTTCTATGAGCACAATGTTTGTTACCACTTGTTTTCTATCTCTTCATGCTATCTTAGATCATCAACCTTTATCCACCTTTTCATAATAATAAATCAAAAATTACTTTTATGAAAGATATTTTAGTAGAGCTTAACCGGGTGATTTTATCCCTGCTTAAGATTTAATGCAGACGATGCTTCAGGATTTGAATTTTTTGGTTTGGATTCAAAATTTTATCTTATCTTATTTAATTTTTGTAATTCGAAATCTATTACTTATACTTATTTAGAGGAATTTTAACACATAAATAGAGTATAAGCCAATTCTACTAAGTTCGAATGAACCTATAGCTCTTTCACTATATCCGTCCCTGCTTAAATGTGAGGGAATTATGTTATTTAAGACGCTCCTAGACACAAGAGAGTTGGATGTGTGATTTGTGTCTTTTCTCACTTGATGTGACACAAACTAAAAATGAAGTGCGAAAATATAAAGTACACAAGCAATTCAAGGGCCTTAGCGACGTATTTCTCGACGATAGGATAATATGCATCTCCTTGATATATTTGATGATCAAGAAGCATGTAGCAGCACTCTATTTGGATTTTGATTGTTTCTAGAACTTTGAGCAAGACATATATGACATGTCTTTGATCTCTTAATGAATATTTCAAGAGTTTTATGGAAATCGGAGATCATATATTTAATCTCTTTGTGCATATTCCGAGAGTTTATGGAATTGCTAAGATGGATTTTAAAGGACATATCTAGCCTTATTTATAGGCATGAATTAGGGTTTGAGTACAGTAGCCCCCAAGTAACCCTTATGGGCTCTTGAGTTGAGTAGCCACCAAGTAACTCTAATGTGTTTATCTTGTAGAGACCCTAGTCCAAATTTTCAATGCACTAATTTGACAAATGGGAGATCTTACATAAATGTCCCAAATAAGTTTCAACTTACCAACATCTAACCATTAATTATAGACTTACCAATACTAGCCAAGCACATATAAAAATTAAAAACTCAAATATATAAGGTTCCTTCTCTCCAAGAATCACACGCAAAGATCTTCTTCTATATTTTTAAGCGTGATCAACAACATTAGATGCAAGACGGAAAGGAAATTTTATGAATAAGGTAGCAAATGAGGTGATGAAATACAAAAAAATTTATATACAAGATTCCAAAAATCTAGGCAAAGAAGAACATTTTTCAATGGGTATGGTTGAAATTCATTGAAACCATATATATAAATGAGTCAATATACAAAATTTGAGGAAGATTGGAGGTGATTTGGACTGATTTGGTATCAAAATTCGTAGTTAAAATCGAGTTCAAAAAATTCTTCTGCTACACGTGTATCAAACATGTATCATGCATGTATCTCACACACATGTATGCATGGATATACATGTGATACATATTTGATACAAATATGATACATATGTGATACACAAATGATACATAGTGTGATACACATATCAACTTTTTCATGCTCATCTTCTACTTGGAATTTTCAATTCAAATCACCCCCAAACTCCACCAAATCATCCCAAAACTGAGATTCAAGTTCCTTAAGATGTACCCAATCTATTCTAATAACGTCCACTCAAATAAAAGCAAAACTTTGACCTTTTATTTTTGCTACAAATAACTAATTGGCTAATATTGGTAATATTTGGCTAATATTAATAATATTTTATGAATTGACCAATTTTTGTAATAAGCTACTTATAAATGGACATAACCAATAATTTTCTAATTTTTAATGTTGCCGTTACCATTCTAAAGGCATTGATGACTGATTCAATGAAAAACATTTCCTCTTTAATCTTTTGTTCAGAACTCTTACTTCTTTCCTTCCTTATTTTATGATCTCTCATTTTTTCTCCTCTGTTTCTTACTTTAAATTCTTTTTTATTTCCTTTCTTGAACTTTGAATCTCTTGTAGCCCATTACTTACATCGAATCCCAAGATCAGTATTTATAAGACTGTCAAAAGGAGGGATCTGTTTATGCGCCATGGCAATTTACTTATTCCAAGCTTGACCTTGTATGTAAAAATTTCATGGCGTGCCTTGCTATTTAATTTGTATCCAATTTTTTAAAATTATTTAACTTATACCCAAAATTTTTAGCTATTAAACTATAATTCTTTGAGGAAGTGAGTTTGGAATTTCAAATATAAAAAGTAAGTTTAAATCAAGTATTTATTGTTAGAGAGCTTTAAAACATTGGCAGATCACTGTTGTTGCAAAAAAGATTTGTTAGGTTTATTGTTGTATTAATAAACTGATTATTCGACTATGTTATTTATGGTATTTTGATCTTAAGTTTCAAATTTTAATTATTTGGAGTAAATTTGTGTACTGAAACGTGTGTTGGATTATTAAAATTCAAAACATAAATTACTATTTTTTTGTGGCAAAAATGGCTAAATTTTTGGCATATGTCCCTTAAGTTTAAAAATGACTAAACTTCGGGCAAAAAATGGCTAACCTGAGGCATATGTGCCTTAAGCCATGCAAAAATGGCTAAATTTCAGCCATACGGTCTGAAGTTCAGTTATGTATGTGACCTCCCAACTCCTGATAATTGTTTTGTAATTTTAGGCCCATAAGTCTGAAGCTATTTCGAAGTGACTTACAATTTTTTATGCACTCCGAGTATGGCTTAAATGGTGGTTCTAAAATCGGATATCTGTGCGCTTCGCCATCCCTATGACAGTAGGAAGAAATTTAGGATTAGTAATAAAATATGGACAAAAATACCCTTTGATAAAATTAGAAAAAATTTTAGTATAGTATGCTAGAGTTTGAATTTGTTACATATGAAATTCCAACATAATGTGTTGTAATTCCAACATAATATGCTGGAGTTTAATAATCTAGCATATTATGTTGAATTGTTTTCATATTTCAGCTAAAGATAGTTTTGTCTAGATTGTATTTCCGTATTAAATACTGGCTATTGTTTAATTACTTTACAAACACTGACTACATTTTAATTATCAATCCAAAAATTAGTCAGCCCGTGCTACTGGACATGTTAGTACAAGCAGACCATTTTTAGTAGGTTTAGAGAGTGTATAGTACGGAGAAAATATTTTTAAATTTTTTCATGTTTAATTGGTCAAAATATTTTCTCAAGCAAACAAGTTACATAAAAATAAGGAAAATGCCTTCCCTAGTGGAAGTAGGAAAAACAAGTTGCATAAGTTCTATTCAACTATGATTGTGTTCCTCTCCACCCCCACTTGTGCCTCCCCACCTACCTCCTTTACTCCCAGCCACCCCAACCCCTGCCAACTAACCCCTACACCATCATGCATTCTTACCCATTGCACAATCCCTTACTCTACCCCTTCTAACCACCCACCCCCAAACTCGTCGCTCCTACCACCACCACCCCGAACACTCGCCCCACCACTTCCATATGATCCTGACCTCCCCTTGCCCGCACACCCTATCCATCCAGCCCCACACCTTGTCCCCATTCCCCCACTCTCCACATTCATCCCCCATCCTCCACCCCTACCCCATCACTAACCTACTCACACCCCTCAACTTGCTGCTCCTCAAAACCCCACTTCGACACCTCGTCCTACCATCCCCACCCCCACCCCCACACCCCTAAACTCTACCCTACTTGCCCAACCTCTGGTCGACACTACCATCATCCCTTTTACATTTATAGCGTTTGATTAGATTATATATAAATATTCTTGTGATAATATTTTTTGCTTACTTACCAAAAAAATAATAAAATTACTTATTTTTTAGGAAAATATTTCCCTCTTACCTAACTCACCCTTAATTTAGTTTGTTTTGTTGTAAACGAAGAGAACAAAAAGTTACTAACATTGGCCATGGACAAACTCTTTCATTTTTAAGGGATGTATACACAGTTTATCCACTAGAAAATATAAAAAAATATATTTTTGCCCCACTTATAATAAATTATTCAAAATAACTTATGGACCAAAATCTTTAGAAAATATAGCCAATTCTCAAAAATTCCTAACCTCTTCCTCTCTTAATCCTCTAGCCGCCCATACTATTCTTTATCACGCTCTAAAATGTAATATGACGTGGCCGGAATTCGATATCTGTTAGCTTGCATCTAGCGAATCTGTACAATATAGTTTCTAAATTACAACAATGTTTGATATATACAATGAAAAGAATACTTCTTTCATTTTAACGATTAGGCTCTTTCAAAGATGTCTCAATAGCTTAAAATTTTTATTTAAAAAGACATAGGTAAATGATTCATTCTATATGCCACGTGAATACCCATAAGCCTAAAATATTATTGTCACGATCCAAAATTCCAACCATGAGATCGTGATGGCGCCTAACATCTTCTTGCTAGGCAAGCCAATATTTGCACAATGACAAAAGCAGTTTAACAACTAAAGAGGCATTAACAATAATCAAAGGTGAAATAGCATAAACGTGTATAGATGTACAACTATCGATGTCTAAAACTATTCTCAGAATCTAGTATTAAAAGTACATGAGCCACTAAAACTGCCAAGTACAAGTCAGAAATGGAAAATACAATAATTTCCGGTACAATACAAAGTAGTAAAAGATAGGAAGGGGACCTCCTGCGAACGCCAAGTAGCACTACCTCAAGTCTCCTGGGATAAGGTCCGAGCAATCACCTCTGAACACCGATGGGACCAACACAGGGGTCTTCATAAGAAGTACTGAAGTGTAGTATGAGTATAACCATCCCCATGTACTCTGTAAGTATCGAGCCTAATCTCGACGAAGTAACGATGAAGCTATGACAAGACACTCAC